ATTTATAGTAGATTACAATACAGTGTTACATGAAATGTCTGGAATGCCCCTGATTAGTGATGGGACACCCAGACTGCTTAAAACACTAAACAGACTTAGGCCCAATAACAAAGGCCCAGTACCTAACAGCTTAAAACCAAATACTAACTAACATGTACACTTATCAGCCGAACCAACAATACATAAAATCAGTCAACTTAACACCCTTAATGGAGCAGCCAGCAGTAAAGAAATAATTAAAGAAAATAAAAGAAGGCTCATAACTAAGAAACATTACTTTTAAACACTACTTAAAAGAAATAAAGAACACTAAGTCCCATTCTCACTACAGGACTTAATGGTATTTTAATATGGAAAAATACAGGAGAGGTAGGATTATCATGGCTAACTAAACTATTTAATAAGATAATGATATAAAGAAGGTGCTTGATGAATGGTGCCTAAATTTAAGTGCAAAGGCAATATACAAAATTGTAATAACTGTAGTGGGGTTAAACTTATGAACCACACTATGAAACTCTGGGAGAGAAAGCATATGAAAGAGTCCTTAGAGAGATGATATGGTGGGTAATGGAAAAGAAAGGAATTCCAAATTGGCATGTGGACCTAATTAAGGATATGTATGAGGGTGCAACAACCATTGTTAGAACATTTGTGGGAGAGACATCAGATTTTACAGTTACAATGGTCTTTTCCAAGGTTCAACACTTAGCCCTAGTCATAGATGAATCGACTAAACATATTTTGGAGGACCTATGGTGCTTGTTGTTTGCTGATGATATTATTTTAATTGATGATACTAATGAAGGATTAAGCACAAAATTAAGTTTATGGACAAATACCTTAAAAGCAAGAGGATTTAAAAGAAATGGGACTAAAAAGGAGTTATAGCTATGTAAATTTAATAATGATAGGAGTGCAAATCAAGGTAACTTTGGATTGGAGACCAGGAGATAATCAATGTGGCATTTTTAGTGCCTTGGTTTGACAGTTCATAAAAAGGGAAAGATTGAGGAGGATGTCACCTATAGAATTAGAGCAGGATGGACAAAATGGAGGAGTGTGTCCGGAATCTTATGTGATAGGTGAATATCACTTAGATTGAAAGAAAAATTCTAGAAAATAGTTGTAACACAAGCTATGTTGTATGGGTCAAAGTGTTGAGCAGTTATCAAACAACATGCTCAAATCATGAGTTTGGCATAAATGCATGGGCCTATCTTTTCTGTTAATTGTTGGTCTCTTTCTTTTTTATTTTATTTTATTTTGGGTCTATTGGTGGACCCATGGGCCATGTTATACTAATTCTTTTAGTGAGTTATGTTACGACTGTCGTATGAGAGCCATCCATGTAATTTGACGTCATATTATTTAAAGAGTATAAATTCTGGTGGGACTCCAATTGGATCCCACGATCTGTCTCTCCTCCCTTTTTTGCTTCTATTGTTCAGATTTTAATTCCTTACTGGTTTTCTCTGTTTTTACTTGATTTTATTGCAAAAACACTAGGTAAAATGAGAAAGAGAATAAGATGGTTTGGTCATATGCATAGAAGACCACCTACAGCACCTGTAAAAAGAAGCAATCTGTTACAAGTTGAAAGGGCTAGAATGGCTAAGGTCAGACCATAAAGGACATGGGTTGAAGTAATAGGAAATGAATGAAGCGCTCATAATTCAACAGTGGATATGACATTAAACAGAATGAAATGGTTACAAAGAATACAAAGTGTTGTTCTGAAATTTATAATTTTAATAGTTGTTTTATCATAATCTATATCCTTTACTCTTTGCACTAAATGGATGGATTTGATTGTGGAATTTTGAAATTTATACACTTCCAATTATTGCCCTGTGACAGCTGTTTTCCGAAGTAGATGTAAAGTTGGTGTTTAAGGAAGTTACATCCAAATTCCTCCGCAGACGTCTTGTGGAGGTATAATTATTCTTGTTCTGTTTAACTATGAAACAGTTGTAAACATTAGACTAGATTTGTGATCTTGCTGTTTTCTCATTTTTTTAAACTTATGTATTTAATCCTCACCTTAGATTTTTATATATTTTATTATTTGGCATGAAGCAGTTTGTCTTGCACTAGTTTCACATTATTGCTGCTTTGTTGCACAGACATTTTCCTCTACTAGATTAGTCTTTACTCCTGTTCTGAGATGCGATCATGTGACTTGAATCTGAACTATTCCAGATTTATAGTAATTTATGTATTCTTTTGAATATCCTCTTCCTTTTCTACTGTCTCTTCTACCTTTCTATGAGAAACACAAATACAGGGACATAGGTGGTAACAAAACTGAATGACTTTATATTCTTGTTGGACTTTTTTCTTTGAAATGTATTAAAGTTCATGTTACATCTTTCTTTTATTATCCTTGAGATTGTGGTTTTTTCCAATCTTTTTCATTGAACAAATTGTATGCAAAACCATTTGAAAATTTTCTAGCTGATAACTTTCCTGCAATTCTTATTGATTGCTTTCATCCACACTTTAAATGTTGGTTTTTCTGGAGCTTTCTTCTATATTTGATGCAATAATTAAAAAAAAAAAGACGAGGAAGAGAGAAGTATGGGAGAAGGGAAATTGAGGGAGTTAACAACCAAAATAATGGTGTGGAACATTCAGCATTTTAGGAGGGTAGAAGAGAGGAAGCAAGAAGTTAATAAGCAGAATTGAGGATCTGGATATGAAAGAAAATTTGGGCTCATTTGATGATAGAGACAGGGAGGAAAGGTAGACATTAGGAAGACAACTGGAGGGTGATAGAAATACCAAATTTTTTAATGCTCTAGCAAATGGGAGGAGAAAATAATTGTCTTTTATTTGTTGGTGGATGGAGTGTCTTTGGTTAATCAGAACGAGATTTCCAGAGCCTTTGTGGAGCATTTTAAATCATTATTCAGGACACTTTGGATAAATAGACTGTGGCTGTATGGTCTGGATTGGCCTAAGTTAAACGAGGAGTTTAAGGCCTGGTTGGAAAGGAGTTTTGAGTTTGAGAAGACCTTGTTCCTAGGATTAGTTTGTTGTGGACCTCCAAACCCCATTGACAGACACCCTGTTCTTGTGCTGTATCTGTTCCTACAATCTTTTCTCCATGTGGTTCCTCTGGAGATCCCCCATAGTTAGCGGTAGGAGTTCGGTTCCAAACAGTTCTAACTCCGCAAACTTACAGCCTCTTGTTGAATCTATGCTTCCAATCCTTGAAGGCTGGTTAACTTCCTCTTCATCTAAATCTCTTAGTTCCTCCCAATCAGTCTCATTCTCATCCTCAAAGTCATCGCTTTGTGCTCTGTTGTAGCATGGATTACGTTTAATGCCAGACCAAGAAGTTTGATAACATGACTACCTTCTGGACAGGTCTTCCCATTGCAATTTGGTGATCAATTTTCTATTGTTAGCAGTCCAATCTTGTTTCAAGAGTCAACATGTACATTTGAAACTTCCCCAAATCTAACACTACCTTCTTTTCATCAAACAGTATGAGAATCACCTTTTCTTTTGAATGAATTCTTTCCATTACCATTTCCAGGATTCCGTAATTACCTTCCTCCTTTCCCAGTCTTTCTTCTTACCTTCCCACATTACTTTCAGAACTGTTACAGAGAATAAGACTGCTATTTCTTCTTGTACAGCACCTGGTTTCTCCTCCCCTTCACTTGGCTTGTCTTTTACTGTGTTTGACTGAACTTCTCTTCCAGTGTGGTTGGTGTTTTCAGTTTCTATAGGCTCCTTTTACTTCAATAGAAATTTCAGTTTCTAAGGCTATAGGCTCCTTTTACTGAGTTTGCCTGTTTCTGTCTGCCTTATGGTGATCAATTGTTTCTTCCCTTTACCAAAGATTTCTGTTAAGGTAATGAACCAGCCATTGTTGTTTCTTCTGCTCTCAACTAGAATCGCTTTTCCCCTCTACTTATCTCATTCCTCTATCCTTGTGTCTTCACTGCAAAGATCAGTCCATCTACGAAACCTTTGAACCAGTTCAGTACCACCCTGTCCATAATAACCATTGCCCATTTATCTTCTCAGATTTTCAGACTTGTTCCTCTAGTTTTTGATTCCTAAATGCAATCTCTTTACTCCATCTTGTCGTGGCACACCACCCAGATTCACCTTGCTATATCCTGAGTTTTTTATTTCTTTTTTATTATAGGTTATAATACCTATTAACACATGTATCTGAGGTAAGTTTGATCAGGTCAAACATCTTTAGATTCTTAATCTGATATTGCTCAGCATTTCCAGCATCCCTCTAATGAATAAACTCTGTAATAATCCAGTTTTTACCCCAAGGCCTGTAAAGCTGCATAATAAGCAGGTATAGTCATCTCCCCTTGTCTAAGATTGCAATGTCCTGCCTGAGATGGAATATCTTAATCTCCATTCCTTCTCTGAGAATAAGATGATGTGGCACGATTCGGGCACTCCTAGCTAGCTGCTGACTGGCTCCTTGTTGGCAACGGATGGCACCTGAGAAGATGGAAAAGAAGGATTCCCGGGGATTTACCCGGTGGGAATACTCCGATGCTTAAGTCAGAACGTTGGGGAAGGAGAAAAGAGGAGTGCCAAAGCCAAGAGTGTAGGTCATGCTTTATCACTGTGCTCGAGAGATTAGCTCGCGAGCAAATATAGACTCAAGTTGAGAGTATGAGAGTGCGGAAGTATTCAAAAGTCTGAAGATCCCTTTTCTCCTCTGTCTCAAGGGATTTTATAGGGTCGTTCTTGTCAAATCGGGCGTAACCGCCACTGGGCCCTTGCCACAGCCGTTACTTGCCAGGGCTGCGCAGGTGGCCGTTGCAACGTACTCCTTGCTCGGATAGGTGACACATCTTCGAAAGGGCAGGCACGCCTTCGCCTGCTGAGAGACGTGGGTGCAGACTATCGAAAGGACAGGGACTGCGCCGTCAGTCAAGGGCCGTGGCGCAGTCTGATTGGTAYGGTCTGTCAGATAGAAGCTTCCTGAGAAACGTTCGCACTGCTCACTTGCAAGCTACTTTATAGCGGGCTTAGGAATACTTCGGGGTTACCCTTATTAGAATTGGTCTCTGGGATGACTTATCTACTTACGGGCTTGAGTGAGCTGGTTTCCCTAGCTCGCGAGCCAAAGTAGCCTCGGAATATCCCCTTTAGGGTAGTTCGGGGAACTCGGAGCTCGCGTTGTAGCGAGCTCCTCCTTCAGCGAGCTATGATATAGCGAGCTGCTTTATAGGCTCGTTACTTAGTCGTTACTAGGCTATAATGCTGAGCTATTGCTCATGCTGAATCAGGTTCACATGTCATCGTTTCATAGGTCGGGCCAAATCATCCTCCATCAATTGCCCCCTACTCCTTGGGCTGAGAGCGTTGCCTTAGCGCAAGGAGTTCATGAAGTATGATGGACTGATTTGACCGGAATTCAAACTTGATTGACTGCTCACATTAAATGCGTTCGCGGGAATCAGGAGATTTTCTGACTTTTTGAATTCCGAAAACGTGCTGAAGTGGCTCTTAACTCCGGATGTCGTGCAGCTGTCCTTACCTCAATCATGGGAGACATGCAGCCAATCGCTTTTCGGTTTTCAGAAGGCGTGCGGTCAGTACACCTGCGGACCGTCAGATCTGCCTTAATCTGGGCTGTTGATTCGGAGGCGTGGAGGCTATAAATAGAAGGGCCCTTTGGGTCTCATTTTCCCTCACGCCATCTTGCTGTCTTCGGATTCTGAGGTCACGCATATATCAAGTCTACTCGAGTTCCTCAGTTCACTTCATCCCGTCCCTTTCGATGAGTCTCGATCACTATTAGTCATGTCTGGGTACCCGTACCATACTCGTCATCGGGGCGGTGACCAGGATGATGATGCTCCCTCGAGCTCGGGGGAGCTTGGGAACAGTTCCCGGGGGCCCGGGAGACCTCTGGTGACGGAGCCTCCACTTCCCGAGGAAGGGAGCCCGATACTTTCGGCCCTTCCTCCATGACAGAGGGGAGACTTAGGTCTCTAATTAGCTATTTCCACCTTCCCAGGGACCTCATCTACTGCCTTCCCACCAGTAACTTTCCATGGGAGCATGGTCCCAATGAGATAGTCATCTACCAGGAGCAGCTCGAGGCTGGCCTGCGTCTCCCCCTGCACCCCCTTGATAGTGGAGGTGCTAAACTACTTTAACATCACTATCAATCAGCTTCATCCCAACGCCATTCGGAACATGGTTGGGACTATATCCTTGTGCTGTGAATATAGTCTTTCTTTGAACCTCGACATTTTTTCTGCTATCCTTTGTATAAAGAATGCCACTCCCGGGGCTCCACCAGAGAGGCGTCTCTACTACTTCTCTCCCCGCCATGGCTACAAGCTCTTATACGAGCTTTTGAATAAAATTCCTGCCTGGAAGCGGGATTATGTTTTGGTCCGCAACCCTGAAGGGTGGCCCTTCCCTACTTCTTGGGGGGGCGCCATCCAGGACTCCAGGGTCGAGCTGGACCCTGATACTCAAAAAACGATGCTATCCTGGGCATCAGTAGGCTTCCTCTGTTCGGACTACTTGGCCGAGGAGAAGCTCGTGCAGGCCAGCCTGAGCCCAGGTAGGTTGCCTTTTTAGGTCGCGTAGTACCTTGTCATAACATTGTGTACATATATATACATACTTTGTTCTTACCGAACTAATACTTTGTGGTTTCTTCTTGGCAGCCATCATGTCTGGTATTGACTCGTGCCGCCTCTTTTCAACCAACCAGAGGCGTAGAGTGAAGAGGTCGTGCCCCGACCGGACCCCTACCTCGGGGGGCACCGAGTTAGGGTCTGCCGAGCTGGTCTTATCCTCTCTACCGCCTGAAATTCCGCTGCCTCCATCTGAAGGGGGAGCTAGCGGGGCTGGCCTCGAAGAGGGTGAACTCCCACAGCAAGGGGAGTGAATCTCAGGAGCGACCGGACTCGGGGCGAGCTCCA